TAGTCAAACAAAAACTCTGAACGTCGAACTGATTTTAAGTCCGTTTAGCTGTTGAGTCTCAGAGCCATACATTACTTAGTTGATCGTTTTCGTAGTTTTTTCAACCGAACACTAGAAAAGCCATCATAGATGATCCATAAACTACCAGTCAGATCGGTTGGATTGGGCATGTAGAAGTAGTGAACACCTTGGATTTTAAATCGCGTCCAAAGGGCATATGATCCGACGAAATGGATGCCGACTCCCAATAGAATGCGGTTTTCACACCGCCCCGCTGCCTTGCATGCTAGGCTTTAGCTAGTTAAAGGCTCCGGCTATAGATTCCTCAAGAAAATTCACCTCTCTTGGCCTGAGTAACGTGGCAAGCGTGCCCACAAGCGCAGAATGTGGCCTTTACTTATTTGAAAGGTTATTCTACTGTGATTGTTGGGCATAACTGCCCAAACGGGGGGAGAAATTTAACAAACTTAAAATAAAGAAGACTTGATTTCGGACACATGAGGTAGGTATAACGTGACGCGTACGTGACAGTACAAATCTCAGCACGCATCCACAAACGCACAAACTGACTGGAACTCACCGTATGATATTGAAAATGNGTACATGGTTTCATTGTACTCGGACGGTGCCGTACGAACCAGGCGGCAATAATGTATGCTCACGGCCAAGATGATAAACTCGGCTGAAAAACAATTCAGGGTGAAACACGCAGTGGGCTTGTTTAGGAGAACAGAAAACGGTATGAACAGGTTAAATGATTTAGAAAATTGAATCGATCAATAGACCGAATGGAACGGACTGCTACACGGTTCAGTGCCATCTCTAGTGAGAATAATCCTCTCTATAGCTATTGCTGTTTAGAATGCCAATATTCCGTTAGAAGGCAAATGCCCACGACAGGTGACGCACATGTTGGTGACCCAATGCAATGCGTCTAGCAGTTTCATCCTACTTCCAGTGAAGTTGGAGTTGAATTTTACTGAGAGCACAGGCAACGTATTTACTGGTAACCTTGGGAAGTAATTCGAGTATGTCTATCTTCATGATTCAGCGAGACTTATTCCGTAATGATATTCAAATGGGTTCGTCCCCGGGGTGGCGGCAGTTTCAGGCTAGTACACATTTTACGACCTATCCTACTGTTCCCACTGCTCTTTCGCTCTCATATGTAACTTCCCTTGATTGGGTCAATAACGATATTGATCTGCGTACAATTATTATTTTCTCTTATTTCACTGAAGTTGGATATTTCGGATACATGATTAAGCCACCGTTCTGGCATCCGCGTATGCCTGGGGCACATTAACTTTTGATCGCTTCCCAAGGTCACTTGGAAAATATTGCTCCTATCTCAAAAGATATTTTCTGATTTTTATTCCTCTCTAGTCACTTCTCTAGGTGAGAGTAGTCTGCGTTCATGTTAACAATTTTTTCGTGGAATCCGAAATCTATAGTAATGTTTATTGGGTGACTCTCTCATGGGCGGTGATCTCACTGGGTGTCTCCAACAGCCTTTCCCGTTGCCAAGGTTCAACAAACTGACCCCTTTCGCATTTTAACACAAATCGAAGACTGGCAGAATCGATCGTCTAACGTTGGTCTCTGGAATCAGTTGTCAAGTCGATAGATTGAATGATACTATATGATACGTGAACGAGAATCTCGGTGGTTTCGAATTAGAGAAGATAATAAAAAATTATATATTGTTCCATGAACCCAAAAAAACACTTTTCGAAATCGGATGAAGCCACACAACCATAACCTTGATATGCTCCTTTGTCTTGCTTAGTAACATGAACTCACAACCTAATGTGGTCCACAGGTGTAAGGACTCAAAAAAGGATAGTAGCTTTCCATTTTTTATTCTGGTATGAAATCCTCGTGATCCCGTTTTGGGTTCTTGTTTTGTTTTTATTCAACACGAAGGTCATACAACTAAACATCGAGACAGTTCCACACACCAGTGAAATTCCGTGTATCCAATCAAATGTACTTGTCTTAAAGAAAAACAGCTCAATACACGCAAACCTCTCAATTTAAAGAGAGATCGATAATGATCATAGTCTGTGTTCCACCCCGAAAGAGTTCATTTACAATTAGTCGGTTAGGGAGAGGGGGGTTAGAAATCATTGTAAATCCACACCACTACTAAAGTCAATTTGCGCTTCAGTATAAAAAGACACCTTCTTGGCACATCCTGACTTGATGATGAGCTAAAAGCTCGAATCTAAAGGGGTCTCACTTTTTCAAAATGACGAATTAATTTAATTTAATTATTTACCTTCTCCACCGGGGTGAAGGAACTTTTGCTTGATTTGACTGAGAATTGTCCAATATTGTTTTCTATTCGGCTATCGCCTTTGGAACTCTCAGTAAGTGGTAATAGGCAAACAGTATTGTCCAATCACGCTTTCACCAACACCACATAGAACTGTGAATTGTTGTCCGTTACCTGCACATGTGCAGTGTCCTCTCCATTAGAGAATTTCGTAGCGCTCGTATCACAAATAATGTTCCCCTTATATCGTTAAAGCACTGTATTAGTAAAACGCGGAAGGTTTACTACTATCCCCATAATAATAATGAATGCAGTAATACTTGAAATGACCTGAATTCACTGAACCGTCGAGGCATACCGTCAGCATGAACAGGTATCCGCTGAAAAAAGGGTTTTTGGAATTTTCAATTCCTAATTGCCATAGAACGGTCAATTCGCTGAGGGCAATAGCGGTTTTATGCTAATTGGTGGTGTCTTTCTGAAGGTTTGGTCTCACTGACATACTCTCCAGTTAACGGGGTTAATTTAGCGATCTACAGTTTGATTGTCCAATGAAATCAACTCATGATTATGATGTTTCGTAGTCATTCCGACACGGTAGCTGTGTGAAGATGTATCACTCATCGCGAAGGTTTGTCCTCTCCGGTGTCCATGGTAAATTGAACGCTCAATACTAATGACAAAACCTCGCGGTATAACATGTCCACCGTTATCGATTAGTTGATTCAAAATGGGCAGAGGTGGTCAAGTGGTGACCAACTTACGCCCCGGACACTGGGCGATTGAGCCCCGTTGGCAAATATGTCTTGCACTAAAGAACAGGGTTCAAATCAGGATCTTCCTATACTCGATGGACAAGAAAAGGTATTTAATTGAAAGAACTGTTTAAATCACGCCTCTCACAAGGAAAATTGCCAGCTGATTAGAATTGTCGCCCATTCAGGCCATTAAAATATAGAAACGTCATCGCGTCGTCTCCGTCCACTTCACGTGTGAATTTCATGTTCGTTTATCACTACCCCGACGTCTTCTTGTTCATGAAGATTAATACATTGCCTGCTTCTCTTTATAAAGAACCGCTCTTATCACGCTATGCATACGAAATGTCTTACAAAAACACACTATTCGGCCGAATCCCATCCGTACTCAGGCACGGGTTGCCTGAAGATTGAATATTCCGAGGATGGCATTAGGAAAACGGGTCGTTGAGCTAAATGAGGCCTTTTATCAGTGTATTCAAAGATCACCACTCAGATAGAATGAAATGTCCGAACGAGCAGCAGTCACATGCGACCGTAACAGACAACGGGTGCAAGCGCGTCAGTGATAACCTGATTGGATCATCCTTGGGCCAACCAATCACACAGCGGTCTGTCCCAACGGTGATCGAGTCTCAGATGACAGTTATATTGGACTATCAAGATTTTCAGCTGTAGTTGGTCAACCGCTCCCTACTCAAGCCTACTTTATTATTTGACAGTGACTTGTTCTGTCGTCGTATCTTAGTCATGTTTCCTCTCTCTCTCTCTCCATCTTGTGACTAATAAAAACAAGGAGAGACCGCAATACACTTACTTATTACGAAATTTGAATGTGAGTAATGGAGAATTCGCTTCAATTTCAAAGGGGAAATTCGTCGTGTATGTCGCAAATGAAGCGTGAACTGGAAAGCTAGGAGGCACTGGCCAGTTGTTTAGGCCGAATCATAACCCAGTAGGCTATTGCTGAGATGAGTGAGGTCCGTGGCCCGCAACAAGCTCGTAAAGATGGGCTGTGCTTTATCGTGTAAGCGGAAAATAAAAAACAGTCTGATCAGCTGTCACATGGCCGAGTCTGCAGCGTGCTTGCGTTTTATCTGTGAGACCCCGGGTTCGACCCCAGTTGGGTCGATGGACTCACACTGTTGATTAGACCCAACCAGGTTGAAACAGCTGTCCAGTGCTTCCGAGCTTTTCACCTCACGCCTCATTTACACGACAAATTCGTCATATAAAATATCCTCAATATTCTTGAGGATAAGTGGCTCATTAATGCTTTCAGTAATCTGTGCGCATTCATATAGAATGGCGAACTTTAGGTTTCGCATGGATCAAGATTTCATTACTCTAAAACTCAGTATTTAATTTCTCTTTCTTTCGTGAACCCCAAAAAGCTGATTGACGAAGATAGACAGGCTGTGATATTTTTCCAGTCAGTATACAGTGCTTATTTACCGAAACATAGATTGAGACACACTGAAGAAATCAATCATGTGATGACTTACCAAGTCCCATAATAACATCCCAAGACAAGGACCGACAAACGTCAAATGTCATTAGATTCGAAGAGGTAGTAAAACTCTCCTCAGAGGTAGGAACAATCGCAGTCACCGTTGATGCCATCATGGTTGTCGTGCCGTTCGCAAACCTACTGTCGTTTACCCCATGATTCCACTCCAAGGTTTGCGGTTTCGGTTCAGTAGCTAGACTGCCCTGAATCAACATACTGATGGGAGCAGCACCTTCAGGATTACGATTCCATGGTGTAGAGCTCATATAGTCCAAGTTGACTGCCGTCCAAGCAACCATATATGTAAATGTGGTTATAATGAACATGCCCAGGAATTTCAAGATATCTTTGTCTCGTACATGAACCCGATGCGCCTTTCGTGACTGGAAACCGGAAAGCACTCTGCAACAACAAAAAACGGAGGGACGGAAGAGGTATGGGTAGAAATGGATCATCAAGGTTGTACTCGGGGTATTCCGATTTGAAAAAGAGAATTCCGAGCTTTTTCCATGTGTTATTCAACTAAATAAGTAGCTTTCCGTTCCTGTTTCCCACGTACGTTACATAAACAACTTGCATCTTAGCAAACCTATGGTTTATTCACGACGAAAAAATAAGTACAAAACTGAAGGTCGTGAAGAGACGGACCGCTCCTGGACGGTGTGCACTTATTGTACTCTTCGTATTCGAGCGTCAAATGTGATCTACTCCATGAGAGCTAAATTCACTGCAGCTTAACATAACCGATGAGATCCAGGGTTTCTACCCTAAAAGAGCAAAGTGTACAATAAAAATGTGCCCTGATAAACAAGTTCAACCCCCAATCACCACCTTTCCCCTTTCCCTTTCGTTCATTTGCAATGACAAGTTCGATTAGGTTGTTTTCCACTTTCTGAAGATTGTTTTAGAAAGTAGAGAGAAAAACCGCTTTCATTAGTTCATCAAGTAAACATCCCAATGCAGCAAGAAACATGGAATCAGCTGCCCATAGAACATCGGCAGTGTAAGGCGACATTGAATTTCACAAATAAGTAATTTGGTCAACGACAGTACTAATCCCCGGCATAAAACAGACCACCCATGCTATGCGGTCAATATAACTCATGAAACCTTGTGATTAGTATGCACGATCCCCGCATGATAAGACCTGCCTACCTCACCGAAACTCGAACATCACCGATGTTTCTTTTGTCACATTTACCTGAGCTATACTCCTGAAAGCTCATTGCTTTATTTCGCCCTTTTTCCATGATCTCCTTATTTGTGTCATTGGTTTTAGTTTATATTTTTCTTGACTGCTCTTTTTAAACAAAAAGTGGGACAAAATATTGAATGCGATAAACGGTTTACCTTGAAATGTACTACAAACACAGTAAGGTGAATAAATCGGGCTAAATTTGTTCTATCTTTAATACTATAACCCTTGACTGCAAAACTTTTCCAGTGGTTCCCATATACTACCCTCTGCACGTTGCCCTGAATGATGTACTTAAAACATTTTGTCTTTAAGAAGGCTTCCAATAACATCTGGGTTGGACATCCTAGAGGATAGTTGTAATAAATATCAGGTACTAGATGCTCCTTCAAATGAACTTGTTATGGTAATAATAATAGTAATAAGTTTTATTTAATAAAGAGATATTCGTTGGTAAAATAATCTGAATTTGCATGTCCGATGGACAAAAACAGGGTTCTAGAACAGTTTTCCGAAACTCCTAACACATGACTTTCTGCAGCTCCTATACTTAGCAGACCCACCATTTGGGCAAACATCAATCAATATATGGAGGAGCTTCCACATTTTGAATCGCATCCTACGACCGTCCTTAATTATTTCACACGAGTTTGATAACAGAACGAATGGAAGGCCTCTTGAAATGCATAACTACCATCCAACTTTTTATTAAGTAAGCGTATGGTGAAAAATGCAACTAGAAGAAAGTTTGTCCTATAAGGCATCAGAGAAAGCAAAGTATGAGGCTGAGTCACTATACATTCGTCTCGACTGGGGATCGAACCCGGGATCACACCTGTGACAGCTCAACCGCAATTCCGAGCTTTTCATTTCACATTTCTTGTGTTCATTTTATGACGAAATACATTATGAACTTGAACTAAATCCTACACTATTCGTTTAAATAAATATTTAAGTTCGGAATGATTCTGACCGAATCGTAACCCTGGTGGTCAGTGCTCAGATTTGTGAGGTGCAATGCGTGCAACTCTCGAGCATAGACGAAATGAAAAACGTCATGATCAACTGTCTGGTAGTTGATTGGGTCTCATACCCCCGAGACCCTGGATTCCATCCTCACATAGGGTTAATGAAATCAAACTGTTGATGAGGCCCAACAAGATCCAGACTGTTGTTTGGTACTTCCCAATCTGTCAAGTCACCGAAAGTTTGGTGCATGTGGAATGGAGGTCATTAAAACGTATAACCTACATATTTATTCCTACAACTCATTTCCCTTTAAAAGTGCTTGAACGGTTTTCTGAAAGATTAGATTGCAAACTGCACGCACCAACAGTTATGACAATAGCTGTGAGTGCCGGCTGAACGTAAACCTCACTGATTGTTGTTTGGAACTGTAAACGTCAGGGTGTGAGTAACTTCTTAATGTCCACGTGTAAGCAAAGGAAAAAATACCCACTGCATAGATCGCATTCAGAAGTTGAAAACACAACTGGTTATGTAATGAGGTGCGTATGTTATGTTATTCAACGTAGACTGACTGATGACCTTGAATTTCTAGGTCATTTTTTCTCTCCAAAGAAGACGGTAATTCTTCACATCATTCAGGTCCGCCAGTGTTTCCAGTGGTAAGACTTTCGCTAACGTTCAACACGTTTGACTATAAGCTCATGGCTAGTAATCAGTCACATACCGTTGTGAGCCAATATTCCGTGTCAGTCTACACAGTAAGTCTTTGTTTTTATCAGTTGTGGAAGAAAAAGCGATAGTAATCGCTCGATAGAACTAATGTTTCGAGTTATCGTGTGTAGGTATCATCTCCATAGTGAGACGTTTACCCACGAATGTGTATTAGTTAGTGCATCAGGGTTTCTTCAAACAAGTCAAAACCTTATGTTGGATGATAAATTTTCGGTGACGATGTGCATTTTATTACCTCCGTTTGACTTCACTCTACTGAAAAGTGGCACTATCTGAAGAATCGCGCAACACTGGTACGTTGGGAAGCGATATAGGAAAAATGAAGGTAATTATGTTTTCCACTCATGACACAAACACAAACACACACACACACGCACACATACAAGGAAACGTGTAGCATTTCCGATCTACGGACTACAAACCACAGTTTTAAACAGCTCATTTTGGGGATTCTGTAAATGATTAACTGGGAATAAGCACGTTCGTGCGACAGATAAAGAATGAGAGAACGACAAGCAAAACACTGAAAAACATTAGTCACATACCTGTAAATTTTCACAATCAGCACTCCGTACATTACGGCAAAACCGAGTTCACGTAGCCACGGGCTCAGTATACATGTGACATCACTTGCTGGGAAGTACATCACAACAATCTTTGAAACGGAAAAACGTGAGGGGTTGGGAAGGACAGCCAGTTTAAGAATAGCATCGATCAGCAAGTGGGCTTAGCAGTTTTATAGATATCCTGACAAAAATCGACTTCTGGTACGTCACTTTTAGGAGAAACGACAAGCAGAGAGAGCGAATTCGCTTCAAACTAAGTTTGGATAATCATTTGCAAAAGTAACGTGAGAGTAAATCACTTTCAGAATCCAAACAAATAACCAATAACAAAATTTGGTCCAGGATTTTCGCTAAGCCGAGTGCGGATACTCACTGATGCAATCACTGGCTTTTCCTTCTTTCTATCAATCTACGATTAAATGTGTCATGCTAGTGTATTGGTGGCCCGCATTAGAAATATTGCAGGTATACTTGGAACTTACTATGAGATAGAGGAGGATAGCACCGATAAGGAGAATTTCCAGCAGTAACCAATTGGATGATTTCACCACCTGAGAAAGAGAGGGAGACAGAAAGGGAAAATCGGAAGACAAAATAAAAGATGCTCAGCTCAGTTGGACTTGGATTATTTCACATCGATTTCGAGTGCGGTGAGGTGAGGCAAACACTAATCGCCTTTCATTAGATGCAATCACAAAGGCACACCAGCAGATTGGATAAGTTTGATCAGATAACAAAAGCGTTAAACTGCTCTGTCATCGCTTTCATCCCGTGAATGGGCATTGTAATTGCTGCTCGGTTTCTGCCCACACGAATGCCAATGCGCAGTAAGTGAGCTCGAGTCGCAGCTGTTTGGGTGGCGGGGATGGGAGCGTGGCATCGAAAGGAAGGAAAACAGACTGACGTCCAACTGCATGGACACAAACAGATACCTGTGCACGCTCCGATACCACTTGACCAGTGTCGGAGAGCAATGGAATAAGGATAGTGAATTTGGGACGGAGTGATTGGTTATGGCATGGCCAGTAACTGGAACCTTTCGCTCTGGAGAGATCTGAGTTCAATTCAGATCACATCAAACATTTATTCGAAACTGTACTATGCGAGAGACCGGACAAACANCTGATCGATTCCAAAGACTGTGGCTGTCCCCGTGCGTGTATGCGTGTGCTTGTCGAAATTTGCGAAATTCGTCTGTATATCCTCGCATCATTTTTTCACGCAGTTTAATTTGCCATTTGGCAATAGGTCATTCGTTCACGCGCTAAACTGTGGACTGGACCGACCAACCGGGTGTTTGTGGCGAGTTGGGCGCAAATTCAAAGCCATTTTGTGCCGAGCACTATCAACCATGGTGAGGCTTCCTCCACTCGAACACTTGCTCGTATACATGGTTCGTCGAACCTCAAATCAATCTTTGAATAGTTCCGAAGGAAGATCCAATATGCAACCCAGTAATCCAAATTGAAACAATCCACTAAATCACGTCCGATTACCGGGTTCAGATGATACTCATCCCCAAGGGAATCTACTAAGAATTGAATGATTTCGAGTCCCATAAAGATGGTCCATTTTGCTGACTGATTAGCATCGGTTTTCACTTGTCTATTCTTCAAATAACAGTCTTATAAACGAGCGCGTTGATATGTAGCACTAGTTTTAAAAGGTTCGTCAGAATTGATCAATTCACCGAGTGGCCTATCCGTTTGCCTGGAGATCGGATAACAGGTAGCAAGCAATATAGTGTAACTGGTTCCCACTACTACGCGCTGACTGCTTGAGATTTGTGCACGCATCACCCTTGCAGACCGTGAAGCAAATGTCAATCTGAGATGTCCCGATCACCGTGATACATACGATATTGAAACCAGGTAGTCATCTGAGAATAAAATCGATCTGTTATTTTTCCGACGGCTCGAATACTCTGGNATGTGACGAGAAAGAATTCAAACCTTCCTTGGGATTGAGGTTTGTTCGAAAAAAGAGGCCAATGTAGCACCATATCAGACCTTGGTCAGTTTTGCAATATATCAAATGGGACTTACTGAAAAGAACCGCAATGTCTACAAATGGTTGGTGAAAGGGTTGCAAAAAATAGTCAAACACAAATGTAAAAGATAGAGGGGTAATCAGAAAATGGGTCGTTAATGATGCATTGCAACTACTCGATTTAACTTTTGGATTCATGAAGACTCGATAGGAAGTAACAGCGAGTCAAAATTGATCGTTGCAGAGTTTTGTCACCAAATCCCTTTAATCCATATAACGTATTGCAGGAAGGAAAATAGGAACAGTAGCCGGAGTCGGAGCACATAAAATGAAAACTAATTAGAATTAACCTTGGTCTTATGTGCTGTTGGCGTTACTGTTTGCACGTATCGAGGTGGTGAATGTATTATTGCTGCAATTGTCATATATCTATGTGATTTCTTAATGATCGAACTATTTTAAACGAGGAAGAAGTGGAAGATTCTGGTGATTCAACATATGAGGACAAATGTGTGGCATCAGACCTCGTGAAGTTATGAGCAACTCAGATTTTGCTAAGAAAAGGAAAAAATAGCTTGTGCATCAAAGAGAGTCAATCGCCGACTCTGAAGAGTCGGCGACAGATAAACCTGATGTGTGCCGTCGGATTGGAATAAGCTACTTACAAGCACCGCCAAACAGCTCAAGTGGTCGTGTCCGAGGCTAGAACCCTAATGAGTTCGCGTGGATATCACTCAGCAAGCTAGATATTACAAGTGTGTGGTGTGCTTCCAACTGGGGACAGGGTGTGCGATGATCCGATAACTATGAACAGGAATTTGGCTTTAGAACAACCGCGGAGTTTGCTATCTTGAAACCGTCAGTGTGGTCCAATTTGACTGCGCATCCATTTATGTAATAAGTATATATTTTAGTATATAGCTTCACATATGGTAGCATAAAAATAGATGTTTATGATCAGCTAATGCAAACGATTGAGTGGTGGATAGTATTTATGCCATTCAAGCTGGAACAGCCACAAAGGTTTTTTTCTTTTTTGCAAAAGAAATTGTCCTAAAAATATCCAGGTTTGACACGATATATACACTGCTAGTCTGGATCGAAACTTCACAATAAATACTATCACTCAGTGCTCACCTTCTCCTTTTCAAAATATATATATGTGCTTTCAGGGAAATTTTGTCCAGTCATCCACATACTACTTATTATCAAATATATATATACCGGTTATTACGGAAACTGTCAATGCTAAGGCAAGTGTTCTCTTTCACATCCGTTCGTCGTGATTTGTACTTTACTTGCTTAATTTAATTACATACGACTTCAGATAGTGGTGTTTATTCCAGCGTATAAAATTTTCCGTGAACCGTGGCCACCGAATGTTTAGTTCCACCTTTAAAACAAACCATCATGACTATGTCATCAATACACATCTGACCCAGCTGGATGTCACTTTGGTCCCTC